GGAAGCGGGAGTGACGCTTCTGAGCGCCGGCCGTGTGGTCGGCGAGCGGACCTGCGGCCCGCACGGGATGAGGCCGGCCGTGCACAGCCCACAGGACCGCAGAGGGTTTTTCTCCGTCTCGAGGGCGAGGAGAAGCTGTTGACGAGATATCGAGACGAGAGGGGACACGTGGTTAGAGCCACATTTTGAAAATGTCACTTTGGAGCAAGTCGTGGTACGGGGGACCAGAATGACCACGCAGGGCCGTCGGAAGGCTGTTGCAGGGCAGAGCTTCTGGGATGGCAGCGTGCCAAGCAAAAACAGCACATCTGGTAACGACCGCTTAAAATACAGATTTAAAGCCTCCAGAAATTGCCCTCCGAGCGTACATCAAAGGAAGGAAAATCTACTAAAACTCCGTAAGCCATGACAGTCTATGGCTCCCTCAAGGAAAGGACAATGTAATGATGTCTCATTAAAGATGAAACATCAATAAGAAGATAGGAATTATTTTTTAAACCATGATAATCCGTGAGTTGAAAATAACAAATGAAAACATTCTCTCGAGGAGCTAAAGACTAGATGTTGCACAGCGAAAAAAGCATCAACAAACTTTAAGAAAGATCGGTGGGTATGACGCAATCTTAAGAACAAAGGAAAATAGAAGGAGAAATGGGTGGAACTTCAGAAAGATGTGAGCAAAGTTTTAAGTGCACCGACGTGTCTGTAATGGGAGTAGCAGGATACGCGGGGAAAGCGGAAAAAAACGAGGAAATAATTACTCACCTAAACTCCCCAAATGTGCTGGCATTTGCTACACATCAGAGAAGCTGAATGAATTATAAGTAGGATAAATTCAAAGAGATCCACACCTCCACCCGTGATAGTGAAAATAATGAAAGGGAAAAGCAGGAAGAGAAAAACGACTTGTCACATTGACCCAAAAGGACTGTCGGCTGACTTCTCATCAGCAATAATGAAGGTCGTGGGCCGTGGGATGACATCGTCAGATGCTGAGAGAAAAAACTTGTTAACCAAAAATCTCGTATCCAGCAAAACTGTCTTTTAAAAACGAAGCAAAATTAAAGGAGTCCCAGATAAAATTAGAGAAAATTTGTTTCTAAGTAGCCTTCCTTATAAGAGACGCTAAACGAAGTTCTTCAGGCTGAAAGCAAGTGACCCCATGTGGAAATGCAAATCTACAAGAACGCTAATAAAGATAATTACATAATTACAAAAGACCACGCAAATATATAGTTTTCTCTGAACTGATTTAAAAATCAATTGTATGTAACAATTATATAATTATATTGTGTATAATTATATTGTCGGACCTGTAACAGATGGAAATGCGCTACGTGTGACCAAAAAAAATAGTACAAAGGAGTTGGATGGGAGCAAAGTTTTAATGGAGTGAAGAGATGACACCAGATAGTAACTTGAATCCACGGCCACGGGACCGAATGAAGACAACAAGAAATGGTGAAAAGGTAAATAAGGCAAATCTTAAAAATATATATTTGTTGTTTTTTCTTCTTTAATGAACATGAAATAGTAATTATAGCAACATGTTATTGCCTGTGTAACATGTATAGATATTGTAACATGTAACAGTAATAACACCAAAGTGGGAAGGGAGAATGTGGCTCTACAGGTAGCATTTCTGTGCCTCATTGGAACTGTCACTGTGAATGTGGAGTCAGCTCTTCAGGTTCATACGTAC